CACAGCCTTCTGAAAGGTAGATCCATTCTCCTCAGCAACCTTCATTGTATGACTTCATTGTATGACTGTACTTTAAATTATGTGTATGTATTCTACACATCTATATTACATTTCATAAAATACACACTACATGTATTCATATATACATACTTTTATTTATTTATCTATCTACCTATTTGTTTATTTATTTATTTATGAGATGGAGTCTCACTCTGTAGCCCAGGTTGGAGTGCAGTGGCACAATCTCCGTTCACTGCAACCTCCACCTCCCGGGTTCAAGCGATTCTCCTGCCTCAGCCTCCCAAGTAACTGGGATTACAGGCACCCACCACCATGCCTGGCTAATTTTTTGTACTTTTAGTAGAGATGGGGTTTCACTATGTTGGCCAGGCTAGTCTTGAGCTCCTGACCTTGTGATCCGCCTGCATCTGCCTCCCAAAGTGCTGGGATTACAGGCATGAGCTACCACACCCTTCCTTATTTATGTTTTTTTTTTAAACAGGGTTTTAATCTTGTTGCCTAGGCTGGATTTGCCTAGGTGCAGTGGCATGATTTTGGCTCACTGCAACCTCTGCCTCTTGGGTTCAAGTGATTCTCCTGCCTCAGCCTCCCAGGTAGCTGGGATTACAGGTGCTCGCCATCACGCCCGGCTAATTTTTGTATTTTTAATAGGAACGGGGTTTCACCATATTGGCCAGGCTGGTCTTGAACTCCTACCTCAGGTGATCCACCTGCCTCTGCCTCCCAAAGTGCTGGGATTACAGGCGTGAGCCACTGTGCCTGGCCTATATATACTTACTTAATGTAGGCACTTTCTATTAATGTTTTTAGAGGCTCAATCTGTTTTCAGAAGGGTTTTTAGTCATCTTAGATTTTTGTGATATCATTTTTATATCTTCTCCCAAAGATATAAAACAAACAGAAAAGACAAACAGAAATAGCTGAGAGGCCGTGAGAGAAGTCTTACATTTATGAAAACTTTTAAAAGAAGTATGAGAAAGGAAACAATGTAGGAAGTCTATCTTGACTTTTTAAGCCACATTTCTCAAAATACTGTTCTCTTTAAAAGTATGACAAGCGAACCTGACTGTGTCAAGTAGTACTTTGAGTAAACCAGTGAAAATAGGCTTCAGGAGTGTGCAACACCTTATTGTGCAAGGACTTCAACATTGAGAACATTGAAAATATTTGGGAAGTTTTGCTAATTTGTTGTCAATAGAAGCAGCATGTTCTCAAGTGACCATTAGTTAATGAGGTGATGGTAGGTACCATGCAAGCGAGGTGAACCAACATGGGCTCTGTTTCTATCCAGTTAATTATTACTTTTTAATGTAATGTATTTATTTATTTATTTATTTTTTGAGACAGAGTCTCGCTCTGTCACCAGACTGGAGTGCAGTGGCACAATCTTGGCTCACTGCAACCTCTGCCTCCTGGGTTCAAGCGATTCCCCTGCCTCAGCCTCCCGAGTAGCTGGGATTGCAGTCACACACCACCATGCCTGGCTAATTTTTTTGTATTTCATTAGAGACAGAGTTTCTCCATGTTGGCCAGGATGGTCTCGATCTGCTGACCTCATGATCTGCCTGCCTTGGCCTCCTAAAGTGCTGAGATTACAGGCATGAGCCACTGCGCCTGGCCAATGAAATGTACTTATAAGAACAAATGGCGAGGAAACGTCTAGAGAAGGTGACCACAAAGTCATTTTAGGACTGTGTATTCTGGATTTCAGGATACTAATCTTTTCCTAACCTGTCAAAGCCTGTTTGAAGTTGTGATGCCTGAACTATGATAATCTAAATAAAAAATTTGGTTACACAATATTTAAAATATGCATAAAATTGGCTGGGCATGGTGGCTCGTGCCTGTAATCCCAGCACTTTGGGACGCCAAGGTGGCAGGATCACTTGAGGCCAGGAGTTTGAGAACAGCCTGGCCAACATGGTAAAACCCCGTCTCTACCAAAACTACAAAAATTAGCCGGGTGTGGTGGCATGTATATGTAATCCCAACTACTTGGGAGGCTGGGGCACGAGGATTGCTTGAACCTGGGAGGCAGAGATTGCAGTGAACCAAGCTTATGCTGCTGCACTCCAGCCTGGGCCACAGATTGAGACTTTGTCTCAGAAAAAAAAAAAAAAAAGCGTAGAACTATGGAAATGAGTATAAGATTTCAATTGTATACAAGATTTAATAAATGTTTTGCAAAATTTGCTCTCTTTATTATTATTATTATTATTATTATCATTTTGAGACAGAGTCTTGCTCTGTCACCGAGGATAGAGTGCAGTGGCATGATCTTGGTTCTCTGCCACCCAGGTTCAAGCGATTCTTTTGCCTCAGCCTCTTAAGTAGCTGGGACTACAGGCACATACCACCGTGCCTGGCTAATTTTTGTATTTTTAGTAGAGACGGAGTTTCACCATATTGGCCAGGCTGGTCTTGAACTCCTGACCTCATGACCCACTCGCCTCTGCCTCCCAAAGTCCTGGGATTACAGGCATGAGCCACCACGCCTGGCCTATATTATTATGAAAGAAATAAAATATTATAGGCTGGCTGTGGTGGCTCATGCCTGTAGTCCCAGCACTTTGGGAGGCCAAGATGTGCAGATCACTTGAGGTCAGGAGTTCAAGACCAGTCTGGCCAACATGGTAATACCCCGCCTCAATACAGAAATTATCCAGGTGTGATGGCAGGTACCTGTAATCTCAGGTACTTGGCAGGCTGAGGCAGGAGGATCACATGAACTCGGGAGTTGGAGGTTGCAGTGAGCTGAGGTTGTACCACTGTACTCCAGCCAGGGCTACAGAGTGAGACTCTGTCTAAAAATAAAATAAAATAAAAGTATGGAAATGAATATAAGATTTTTTTTGTACACAAGATTGTTTTGTGATATGTGCTCTATGTATTATCAATAAAGAAAGAAAATATATAGGTGGTCAGAAGCTCCGTCTTCCTGGCTACCCTTATTTTCCCCCATCCTTTTCCTGAGTTTGATGTGTTTCTTTCCATGCATCTTGGTATACTTTTACTGTACGTATACATATGTGTAACAGCGTTTCTTAGTGCTTCATAGATTTCAATATTTATATAAGTATAAATAACGTTGAGAAAAAAGCAGTTTGCTAAAAGAATTCTTCATACATTCTGACAGCTAAGCATTTGCTGGTTTTATGTATTATAAATTTCATTTTCAGGCCTGTGTCTTGTCTACTGTCTTTTTTTATGGTAGCTATGTACATATAATTTAAAGTTGGGTAAAGTTAAATTGATTATTCTTTATGGTTATTATTTTGCATCTTGGTTAATAAACCCCCTGCCTTCAGATCAATGAAATGGCCCCCTATATTTTCCACTTGAAGTTTTAAAGTTTTCTTGTGGGTTTGTTTGTTATTTACATTTTTTTTGATTATACTTTAAGTTCTGGGTTACATGTGCAGAACGTGCAGTTTTGTTGCATAGGTAGACACATGCCCTGGTGGTTTGCTGCACCCATGAACCCATCACCTACATTAGGTATTTCTCCTAATGCTATCCTTCCCCAATCCCCCACCCCCAGACAGACCCTGGTGTGTGATGGTCCCCTCCCTGTGTCCATGTGTCCTCATTGTTCAACTCTCACTTATGAGTCAGAACATGTGGTGTTTGGTTTTTGATCTTGTGATAGTTTGCTAAGAATGATGGTTTCCAGCTTCATTCATGTCCCTGCAAAGGACATGAACTCATCCTTTTTTATGGCTGCCTAGTATTCAATATGTGCCACATTTTCTTAATCCAGTCGATCATTGATGGACATTTGGGTTGGTTCCAAGTCTTTGCTATTGTGAATAGTGCCGCTGCAAAGGTTTTTAGTTCGCATTTAGCTCTTGAAGCTATCTAGATTTACTTTTGTTTGGTGTGAGGTGTGAGGGACCCAAACCCTACCCTTTTTCCTGATAATGGAACCCATTTCAGTTGCCTTAGAATCAATTCTTTTCTCTCTCTTTTCCCCACTAGTAGTCCCCTTGGTCTTACAAATGTTTTCTTGTAAAACTGTCTATGAATGTGGCTTTGTAATGATGAGACTTTTTAACTTTCACTCTTGACAGAGCTGAGGAAACCTTCTTTTATCATATTCATGAATTTTGATATTTTGTTTTAAAATTAAAAATTAGATACAAATGAATGTTCATATGAGAAAAAAATGCTCACTTAGTGAAAATAATCATTGATGCAAAAATACTTATAATATTTGTTTCTCCCAGTTAGAGACTATATGTATTCATCAATTTATTCCATATTTATTGCTGCCTAGTATGTATGAATAGCTGCTCTAGGACATAAAGATCATTCAATGACAAATATGGTATGTCAATGATACTGCAATCCATATTCAACTATGATTAGTCCGATTTTATTAGATGGCTAAAACTGTATGGCTTAACTTGATACTGTGTAGTCAGGTTGGTGGTCAAGTAACATGAATATCTTATCAATTATCAATAAATCCAACAGAGAATGTGTACCCATGCTGCATGCCCACTCCAAGAGGACCGAGACTAGGGCGGGTGATAACTGGGTGGGGCCTTTGAGGATTTCCAGCATTTGTGACTCCAAAGTAGCCAGGAGGAGGAGGAGGACTTGGGTAATGCAGGTAAGCTGCTTCTTGGTAGAAGCCTGGGGTTCCAAAGCAGAGATTGAATTCTAAGATGCCAGTACAGGGATGGAATTGAGAGACAAAGCAGCCCTCAGAGGGCAAGGGCGGGAGCAAAGTGAAAGGATCTGAGGTGGTTACTCAAGCGCCTGGTGCTGATTTTGCTTGGCCTTAGGTGTTTCTTGTGAGGCTTGGGAGGACCAGCCTGCCCTGAAGTCCTGAGGTCTCAGTGGATGGTGGTCGTGCGCTTTATTCCCTTGCCTCACTGCATTTTGTTTTGTCAGACTTGAGTGCTGCCTACACTAAATTCATAATCTGGTAGAAAAGCTGTTGGTAAAGCTTTCAACACACTGCCTTTAAACAGGAGACACTTGACAATTTCCTTTTGCCTCATTTTCTTTTAGGTTTTGTGAATGATTCTGTGACTAAGTCTATTGTGGCTTTGCGCTTAACTCTGGTGGTGAAGGTCAGCACCTGCGTGCCGGGGGAGAGCCACGCAAATGACTTGGAATGTTCAGGAAAAGGAAAATGCACCACGAAGCCATCAGAGGTAAGGGGATGCCTGGCAGCTTGCAAATACACATATTTACCTGAATAAATACATAAGTATGTATGTGTTCTTACCCCTTTCATCCTTACTCGCTCTATCTATCTATCTATCTATCTATCTATCTATCTATCTATCTATCTCAAGCCAAGTTGATATATACATTCCTTTTTTTTGATTTTGAGATGGGGTCTCACTCTGTTGCCCAGGCTGGAGTGCAGTGGTGTGATTTTGGCTTACTGCAACCTCTGGTTCCTGGGTTCGAGCGATTCTCCTGTCTCAGCCTCCCGAGTAGCTGGGGTCACAGGCACGCACCACCATGCCCTGCTAATTTTTGTATTTTTAGTAGAGACAGGGTTTCGCCATGTTGGCCTGGCTGGTCTGGAACTCCTGGCCTCAAGCCATCCCCCCGCCTTGGCCTCCCACAGTGCTGGGATTACAGGCATGAGCCACCGTGCCCAGTCCAATAGATAAAATTTAACCATTACAAGATTCTGTCTATTTTTCTAATTCCTTGTTGCCTCCTTTCAACCCAATTAAATCCCTTGCTCATAAACTTAAGGAAGTAGTTTTAAAACTGAAATGCTGGTTGGACATAGGAAATGAGTATTTAGAGACTTCAGGACTGAAGATTTCAGTTTGGGACTCATCTGAATATGAATGGAATTAAAATCACTGGGATGGGGAAAGTGCACTGTGTACATTAGCAAGAGTGGAAAGGAAGAAAACAAGCGCATGTGCTAAAGAATCCCCCAAATGGACGGCTTCAATTATATGCCAGTATGCAACATATAGATACTTAAATCTCCATATGATTTTCAAAGTAACTGTAATAAATTTGTGTAGTGATAGATCCTCTTGCTTTGGTATAAAGTAGAGATTTTGTGAGAAGTAGCGGTCATTATAGCCAGTAGTACAATCAAGAGAAATGGAAGAAAGAAAAGGTAAACACAGTCATTCACTTACCCGTTTGGGGGACTGTTGCATGCCAATGTGGTAATTTCCTCCTTAGGCTTTGCTTTTCCCTGGCTATGATAACAGAGTTACAGACATCAGAGGAAAGTAAGAGAAGAAACCGAGAAGAGGCATGGACGAGATGACCCATTACCTTTGTTCTTTGAGGAGCTGGCATCGGAAACACTATGGAAGCCCTGAGCCCTGTTCTGCTTTTTCTTCAGCAGATGTGGCCAGGGCATGGGGCAAGGCCCAAGTACAGCTTCCTCCTCTGCCTCCTGTTTTCTGTTTCCAGGCAGCAGTTTGGGAGTCAGAAGAACAAAGGACCACAGCAGTCGTTGAGGTCAACCTTCATTGGTATAGAACTCCTTTAAAACATACCTTTTTTTTGAGACAGAGTCTTGCTGTGACACCCAGGCTGGAGTGCAATGGCGTGATCTTGGCTCACTGCAACCTCACCTTCTGGGTTTAAGCGATTCTCCTGCCTCAGCCTCCCAAGTAGCTGGGATTACAGGCATGTGCCACTATGTCCAGCTAATTTTTATATTTTTAGCGGAGACAGGATTTCACCATGTTGACCAGGCTGGTCTCAAACTCCTGACCTCAAGTGATCTGCATGCCTCAGCCTCCCAAAGTGTTGGGTTTACAGGCGTGAGCCAATGCACCTGGCCTAGAGCTTCCTTAAAATATTTTGCAAGTGGACTCCAGGGTCCACCTGAAGATCTCTAACAAGGAAGACTTCATACCTTACAAGGGGGCCTGTTCCAGTAGGGGACATCTATTCCCCTCACCACTCGCTACATCCATCTCCAGCACCTTTTCTTTATTTTCCTCTCTAGTTATACACACATTTCTGTTGGAGTTAATGTTCAGTGACAGTGGATTCCCAAACCCCAAAAGAGCATGGTTTGTTTGAGATTTTGAGGGTAACACAGGTAGGTTTTCTTTGGTGATGCCTTCTTGTGGGAATGTCAGCACATTGGGTACTAGTGGACTTTGACAAGTGAGAGGAGGGGGACTGACAGAAGGAATATTGGCAGAAGCTTTCAAGTACTGTTCTTGTCATCTTGGAAAATCTGTGACTTTCCTGTTAGCTGTAATATTGCAGCTGCTTAAATATAGCATTTTCTGGCCAGGCGCAGTGGCTCACGCCTGTAATCCCAGCACTTTGGGAAGCTGAAGGTGGTGGATGACCTGAGGTCAGTAGTTTGAGACCAGCCTGGCCAACATGGTGAAACCCTGTCTCTACTAAAAATACAAAAAATTAGCCGGGCGTGGTGGCGGGTGCCTGTAATCCCAGCTACTCAGGAGGCTGAGGCAGGAGAATTGCTTGAACCCAGAAGGCGGAGGTTGCAGTGAGCCAAGATTGTGCCATTGCACTCCAGCCTGGGCAACAAGAGCTGAAGTCTGTCTCAAAAAAATGTAAATAAATGAATAATTAAATAAAATATATAAATATATTTAATAAAAATAAATACATAAATAAACAGATATACAGCATTTTCCTGTAGTATATTCCTTGGAGGAGGCAGAATGTGGTCAGGAACCCAAAAGCATAGTGAAAGTGATCATTTCTGCTAAATCTTTGAAGAAGAACACAAATGGAAACCTAAGCCCAGACTCTCCCGGCTTGTGGGAGTGAAGCGAGCCACTAGAGTGAGGCCAGGAGGTGCAGAACCAGGAGGCTCCTTCCAGGAGGCCAAGCCCGTCATTTACATCCCATGGCCTCCTGTCTCTGCCAGTTTGGACCAGTCTGCTCTTTTTCCTGAAGAGAAACCTCATGTATCAATATACTTTATGGGAAAAAAATGTGAAAGACACTCAGTGTTCTTCTATGACAGTCATGGCTAGGGAGGGGTAAAATAACTGGAGAAAACAAGAGGAGGCCAAGGAGAACATATTTGATAAGGAGGTGCCAGAAGAGAGGACGGGTGAGAGACTGAGAAAAGCCACTGGCCGGGGGTGGAGGAGGGGCAGGCCTTCCTGCCTTCCGGGTGAGCCTGCAGGGAGGAGGTGGAGACACACAGATCTTCCCCCAGGCCTCCTCATGCTTCCCAGTGAATAATTTTGAGGTCTGATTAGCTCTGAAAAAGTTAATATTGGCACAAGAGAAGTGTCCTGTAAGAGGACCCAGAATTTTTGATTGATAAAGTGGTGAGGTTCATTGTGACCTTTCTTTTATTACGGGTGGCTCTTCTGGAGAAATGTTTATTCTGTAAGGCGGTCGTCATGTTATTTTAATGTATGTGTGTTGTGGGCTTCTCTGCAGGCAAGCTCTAGCTAGGAGGCTCTGCCTGGAAGCTTCAAATGGACTCATTGAAAAGGCAATAGAGGTAGGTGTGTAGCACCTGGCAGGCAACTTGGCCAGCCTTGTCAAATGTGAAAAAAAGTGACTCAAACACTGTGGTGAAGAATCCAAATTAGTTTTAGCAGATCCTTTCAGAGGCAGCACATCTCCATTAGGGGTAGGGGGTAGCAGCTTCTTTGAAGAGCTTCCAGTGACTTTGAGCTAACACTTCCTCTTTCCGTATTGCCTCCCGGCTCCATCTCAGGTGTTTCTGGTAGAGCCTCTGCTGTCATTGATTCTGTATTGCCCTTCAGTCAATTTAAGGAAACTGTGGCAATAATCTTATCTGAGCCATTAATATTACCCCTCAGTGACTCAAAGCAAATGATTAGGTTGGAATGACCATGTCCATTTCATTCTAAGACACACCGCCTTGGTGCACACTGTTAAGTTGGAGAGAAATGTCTGGGGGGACTTGAACTCCCTAAGACAGGAGCAGAGGGAATGGAAAATCTGTTTTTTTTTTTTGTTTTTTTTTTTGTGCCTACTTGGGTTCCTGTGACTTTTTGTGATTGTTGCAATGGCTGTTTCCAGTGTCTTAGAAGTAGCTTGCTAGCAATGAAAAACTGTTGTCATCACTTTTTTTTTTCTTTTTACTGTTTCCTAAAATTAGAAGTTATATAGTCCAACCTTCCACCCAATGTAAGAATCCACTCCATAGCACAAAACAAATAGAACTGTATTTTGTGATTTAATTTTATCGTTTCTAATCATTTTTATGTCTTTTTATTAGATCATCCATCAAAATAAAAGCAATTCTGTTATTTCCACCCCGCTTTCATTTGGTAATGGAACTCATTTCTTTTCTGTCAGAGGCACTTGGGCGAGGGCGTATTTCAGAATTCCGAGCTGATGGGTGGTTTGTGACAAAGCTCAAGCTTGCTGTTCTTGATATTGCAGTATTTGGGGAAGGTCTTTATAAATGTTTACTTCAATACTGCCAGGAGCTCTCTGTGCTTGAACACTCCTTTCCTGTTACCAAGGGTTGATTCTGATCTTTCCTTCTCCTTAAAAAGAACTTTAGATCTGTCTTTGAACGTGGTCACCAAGGTTGTTAGGCTACCAGCGGCTGCCTATTGGTGATTGACTCCTTAATTATCTTACGGGTGAGTGTCAGGGCGTCAGCATGGGGCTCTTGGTTGGTTTAGGCCTTAATTCTTCTTTAGATCCAAATTAGATTCCATGGACTGAGTCTCTCTAGGTCAAGAAATTTGTATTTGGAGGAACAGGAACATTGGATGGAGATTATATGTATATAATTACATATATAATCTATATTATATAATTAATATATAATATATAAATTATATAATCACATATATATATGTGATTTGTTTTAAGGAACTGGCTCATGCAATTGTGGGGTGTTGGCAAGTGCAAAATCTAATGGGGGAGGCCTATAGACTGGAGACTCAGGAAAGAGTTGCAGTTTGAGTCCAAAGGCTGTCTGCATGCAGAATCCCATCTTGTGTAGCGGAGGTCAGCCTTTTGTTCTCTTTGGGTCTTTAACTGATTGGATGAGGCCATTCACATTATGAAGGGCAATCTACTTTTCTTAGCCCATTTATGCTGGAGGATACATTTTTTTGAATTTTTGTATGAGTGAATAATCAGACCTTGGCAATGACCTTGAGCAGTTGGATATAAGTAACTCCCACATGCTTAGCATTCCAATAATGGAACACTAGGTATATTAAACTGT